GAAAAAGTTAATTTAGTTCATAAAGTGGGATTGAATCAATATTTTCAACTTGAAATATTAATGAGTTGTATTTAAAATTTATACATTTAACTCATCTCAGCTTAACTCAACCTGCTATTAAATTAATTACTTATTTATTTATTTATTTAGAACATGTTAAAATATATTTTTTTTGTTAGGATCTAAATTTTATTTTTGTTGATTTTATTAAAACTCACATTTGTGATGATGTGTAATTAAATTTATTTAAGAAATCTTTCAATTTATAATGACATTGATATCAATATATTTATTTACGAAGTATAATGTATGATTGAATTTAATTATGAAATAATTTAGTTTTTTTTTTAACATATAACCTGGTGGGATGGACTTGGGATTTATAATTATTTTTTGGACCAAGCAAATATAGAGGCCCGATGTTAGAGCCGGCCCAGGCTTGGACAGACACAATGTCTCGTATTATATAGCATCGGCCCAATCTGACTCGACCCGCCCGACCCGAATTCACGTCTGTCCACCCCTAACCTGTTGCTATCACTCCTTGTCACAGGCAGACTCATACTTTAAATATTTTTATTTATATTTACCAGTCGTTTGGAAATAAGATTTTTTTTAGTGACTTTTTGATTTTTTTGGGGTAAAATATGACTTGAAAAAAAATAATATATTTAGAATGATTTTTCAATTTTTTTACGAAAATATATGTAAAAAATATAGTGAATCGAAAAGAATCTTTGATTTTTTTTGTATTTATTGATTTTTTGACCTTTTTAGTGATTTTTTGACTTTTAGATTATTTTATAAAGTTCCCAAACGGCCCTGTATTTATGTTTGTAAGTATTATTATTATTATTATTATTATTATTATTATTATTATTATTTTGAATAAATTACACTAAACTCCCTTAAGGTTTAAAGATGTTAGGTTTTTTGTAATTAACAATCCTGTTGAATAAAATTCCTTTCAAATGTTGCCTTCACTCTTTTGTTTCTGCGAAGTGTTTAGATGGAAATTCAGCCCAATTTGTGTGTGAGTAGAGGCATTTGTTCTAAAGGAAAAGTGTGCTTGAACAGAAGAGTTTTTGAGCTAGTCAAACTTCATGGACTGCTCGAGCGGTCAAGTATGCGCTCGAGCACTGCATTGTAGCATCTAGTATCTCACTCTGAGCTCTGAGATACTGAGGGTTTTGTTTTACCACTTGAACTGTAAGTCTTGCACTTGAGCGAAATGATAGGTGGAAGTTTGTTAACTCCACCTTTTAGATACACCGTTCGAGTGATCATTCTAGCGCTCAAGCGATCTTCGCGACTTTACATCTTTTAAACTGCCTTAGTTGCATTTTTGAGAGCCAACCCTTCTAGAATTCTCATAGAGGAGATTAGCGAAAGCGTCCTATATTGAAGGGAGTTTACCTTGATGAATTGAGTGTGATCAATAGATCAACGGACTTTATATTGACAATCATTAAGGGGTTTTCTTTCATTCAAATCATTCAAAATAGAGATGTTCATCGGTGGATTCTAGAAAATTTGAGCATGAAACTTTGGTGGATTCTGGAGTGACTTATTATCGTAGATTCGACATCAACATTGTAGATTCAACGTTGATGGAAGAGGCACAACGGGTTTGGTTAAATTTGGGCATGGATTTGCTAGATAATTGAGAGTTCTCATGTGCAATTCCATTGTTTTCTTAGTGGATTATTTTGTGGCTTTAACCCGTGATTTTTTTATCACAATTGAAAGTGGGTCAATTGTATGGGAGTGACTGTGACTAATTTTAATTGGTGTCAAATTGTGTTAGAAGTATTTTTAGGTATGAATAATTCGCTAGTACTTTGTATTAATCAAAATGTAATTTTTGTTTGAAAGACTCTATAAATATTAAACATTAATCTAATTTTTTTATTTAAAAAAATTAAATGTTAAAAAATATACATATAAAAATTTTAGTCCGTCTAAATATTTAAAATTTTGAAATTTAAGAATCTTAATATAAAAAGTTAAAAAGAAATTAGCCATATCTAACTTATTATACTTAACCCATATATAATTTCAAATTTAAAAATTTTAAGAGAAAATTTCAAATGTAAATTTAGTCTTGTATAATTTTAAAATTTAAAAATATTTACTTCATTCTTTTTTTGAAAATTTAAAAATACATATGGCATCTAAAAAATTATCAAAATATTTACGACACATTTATTAATTAAAAAAATTCACATGGCACATGTAAAAATAAATAAAATAAAAACATGAGTAATGCATATTTTTATGTCACGTCCAAAAATACATGCGAAAGATAACCATCAATGTAGGACAATAAATTATTATAGTCGACTCTTTCAAATTTACACAAACAAATAATCTTACATTTTTGTGCTGAAAATAAGGAAAGAGAGGGAGAGATACTGCAAATGGTTAGGAAGAGAAAATAGAGAGAAAAAAAAATAGGAAAAAAAGGAAAGAGAGGAAGATGTTAAGAAAGTGCTGAAAGTTCTTTGTGCGGAAAATTTAATTTCGGTCAAGTAAATCCAACCGTTAATTTCATAGATGGGTTGATTTGGACCATTCTAACCAAATATGAGAGATAAACATTTTTTAAAACAAAATTGTTTTATTATATAGATTAAAAAAGAAATTTATCATGGCACATGCAAAAAAATAAATAAATACATGTGCAATGTATATTTCATGTCGCGTCCAAAAATACATGCGAAAAATAACAATCACTATAGGACAATAAATTATTATAGTCAACTCTTTCAACT